TAGGCTAGCAAATTTTTAGTTATTGCTGTAACACTCTGTATACGCATATGTTTTCTGTTATACTGTGTTCCGTTGTTGTGGAAAATATTTATTGAAATCAAGGAGCATATAGATAAAACTAAGGATGAAGCCAGTCAGGTCAATGAAATCTCTATAGTTTTGTCTATATTATCGTGTATTATTTCAATAATAAAATAAAATAAATATCTATTCAGGTCTTGGTCACAATGACATAACTATTATCCTAACCAGCTGTTATTTACATTTAATTATTTTTTCATAGTGGGTATTCAAAAATTAAAATTTTTTTTTTAGAATTCTAGTCATTTAGTGGCAGTCAGTTGTGGTTTTGTTGTATTTAATTAAGGTAATATTATTATTATTATTATTATTGTTCAATGTTAAAGTGAATATTGTTGGTGCGTTGGGGAGGTCAAAATTCCCTATAGTTTTCAAAAGCGACGGGCAAAACAACATAAAAATTAAGGAAAAACGGAAATTTTCATGCAAAATCGGTTTTTTACAAAATCGATTTTGGTTTCTGGTGTAAATTTAAAACAAATTAACGTATATACAAGAAATTTTCGCTGGTCATTTATAGACTTTGAATTTTCTATACGCGATAACATTTTCAAAATCTTTTGATTTGTTTTGAACTGTGTGTCTGTTTAGGAACATTTTCTGTTTCCAATTTTATTATTATTTTTTTGTATTAATGTCAATAAAACTTTATTTGTTGTGTAAAAAAGCTTGACAATTTAATACAAAGCTACTACTATTGTTACTATGAGATTTAAAAAATATTAAAAATCCTTAGTCACAGTTTTTTTTTTTATAAGCATTTAAAGTTCAAATCTTGAAGAAATGCGGAAAAATCACGAAAATTAGTAATTATTTTGAGTTACGAATTCGTAAAATTTTTTCTATTTAAATATAATATTTTAAAATGTAATACAAGATTGTTCATAAGTTTGTCTACTTTTATCAACAAAAAAAATGTCGACAAGCAAATCAAATTAAATTTTTATGAGTGGTTGAAGTTCATATTTTTACAAAATTGGATATTCACGTGATTTCTCATGTAGCGATTGTGTTCTTTTGTTGTAATTCAAAAACGAAGTATACGAGTCATGAAATAAAAGTAAAACATATTGTATGCCCTTATTAAAGGAGATAATTTTACACTCAGGGTTGAATCCCTGGCATTACCCCATGCCCTTCGATCAGATCCTGACGTCCTGTGTATATTATTGTATTAGTTTTTGTATTAATTTTCATGATTTTGATGAATTTTGATAAAATTCTAGCTTCATACAACCATGAAAAATTACTGTGGATTTATTTTTAATAAAAAAAAATATATGAAGAACCATGTAGGTATTACATTTTTAAGTATTGTGATCGATTTACAATAATTTAAAAAAAAACTAATAAAAATCGAAATTTTCTTTTACCTATACATAGCTCAAATACGGTTAATATATTTTGAAAATTGTATGGTTATAATTGTTATTATGGAACATAATATTTAATAAATATATAATAAATAAATAAATATAATATATTATTTTTTTACCCGATATTCTACAACTGTCTTGCACTTGTTGATATAAGTACTTAATAGTAAAACTTTTTATTTAATTTTAAATTATAATATTATAAAATTCATTATTTGAATATGATGAATTACCTATTTTTACAATATTAAATATTATTTATTGATCACTTATTAGTAAGACTTAGTTAACGTATCATGTTTTAAGGAGTAATATTTAGGCAATTCACATGACATAAACATTCGGGCTATGCTAGGTTGGGCAGTATCAAAGTCCAAAGATACAATTGTATCTTGTGTCATAATACATAATTTTGATGTATCAAGTATCATATATATCTTTTTTCCCAAAAGATACAAGATACTATAATATTATAAACAATTGATTTGCAGGGCATACTCAAACGCAAATACATATAACAATTGTGGTAATTCTTTTTGTATGTCTATTATTAATATTGTATTGTATATAATTTCGTCACGGATTGTGTTTTTACAAAAAACTTTTCCAGGCGCAATTGACCCAGAATGAACAAAATTAAGAATGTTATAACTTGTAAGATAATTTTTGAAAAAACGTTAATTTAAATTACCAGTTATCTATAATATCTATCTACAGTCATACACAGATAAGCTCTGAACTGACATTTTCGTTATCATAAAATATGAATCTGCTATCTAGGTCTTCCCACATAATATAAAAAGTTTTATTACTGTTTATTTTATTTACGTTCTGTCTTCTGTGTGACTGTGTCCGGGTCAACTGTCAGTAAAATAGTTGTACAATTTAATAGTCAATAAAATTAATTTGGAAATACAAAAGAATCATGTATCTTGTATCTTTTCTACATTCACAAAGTATCTTCAATCTTGTATATAGATACACTAAATGCATGTATCATGATACTTTTTTTTGAGTATCTTGCCCAACCCTGGGGCTATGCATATGTGCCAGTAGTAAATAAACATTAGTGTGTGTTTTCGAGGATCGCTATAATAGAGTATAACTGCCGCCTGTGCAACTCTCGCACTCGCACGCATAAGTCAACAAATCTCAAAAAACTGAAAATATTCTTGTTTGCATAGCTATAAGAACTACTAAAAACGGTAGTAAGTTAAACATACCTACTTCGATGAAGTTCAATTGTAATTTTGAAAAAATTGTTGAATTTATAAGCTTCTAGACTCCCTATGCTTTTTAGGAAATATTGTTTGATTGGCTAAACTCACGATTTTAATAACCTGTAAACTATTGTCTCTTCCGATGGTAAACTCTTTCGTATTTACTCCAATAACTTGCCTGATGGGTACAAGTAAACTCTCCCGCGGGGCCGAAGGGGCGAGGTCATGGAGTGAGGAACGTGTCATAATATCCCCCTCCCTTTTTGGCTTATTTTTGTCATCTAAAATATATGATAAAGCAATGAATATGGTCAGAGAATACTCAAAATTTCATGTCCACCCTTTCAAAAAATCTATGCTCTGCTTTCCCGGGCTTACGTAAGTATTACCTGGAGTGCTCTTGAGTTATAATAACTTCGTTTGTACATTGTACATTATAATTGTATTATTATATTTAAATATTTATAATAATGTATTGAAAATACAAATTTTTAAAATGTACATTATTATCTGTACCTACATTTAAAAAAAATTAAAAAAAAAAAAAGTAAATTATTTAAATCATATAATATAATACAATAATAAAAAGCTGGACAAATTGATGTCGCTCTGTTGTACAGTAGGTCACAAGTGGGTCACTGTATAATGGACGGTACCTACATTTAAAAAAAATTAAAAAAAAAAAAAGTAAATTATTTAAATCATATAATATAATACAATAATAAAAAGCTGGGCAAATGGATGTCGCTCTGTTGTACAGTAGGTCACAAGTGGGCCACTGTATAATGGACGGTATTAAATTTGAATTCAATGATATAATATCATCGTATACGAAAAACGATTTTGAGAGGTGACGGTTTGTCAGTGTGGTTATATTATATTATATTTATATTGTTATTACTTACAACGTAATAATTATTATTAATACGGTAACCGGTAAATTTAATTAATATTATAAAATTACAACAAAATAACTAAAATCGTTATTCTTGGTTATTTAATTCGTCATTTCGTTTAGTAGTTTGAACCTCGTTTTGTGTTAGAAATATGAGGTTTGCCAATTTTTATTATTTTTAATTTTTCAAATCAGGTGTAGGTAAAAACTCCCTGGAGTTTAAGAGGTGGATTTTATAAGATCCTTTCTTTGTGGGACTCTACATAATAAAACGAAATTACTGACCATCTGACTAAATTTCATACCTACTCAAAGCTTCGGTGGTTCTGGTTAGGCGTTGTTCAGTCAGTCAGTTAGTCAGTCAATTGGTGATGGCTTATAATTTTTATAGGTTAAAAAAACCAAATTTAACCCTTTTTAAATTAGCCTATCTTCTTCCCAGAGATCTGCATACATTAAATTCATTTATATATAATATAGCTGATCCTGCGCACTTCATGGCCCGTAAAAAATTACAAAAAAATAGTGATTTTTCCACCCCGTTTTTAGTGTAACTCACTGCAGTAAGTGCAACTCAGCCACCCTGGTAGGCAATGTGCGAAATTTTGACTTTATGCATGCTTTTACCTGATTAACCAATTGCAACCAATAATAAACAAATACTTTCTCTATTAATTATTCCTCCTATAACCAATAGCAACCATTTATAAATAAATAGTTCCATCGTAAATCTCAAAAACCCTGTTTTAGTGTTTTAAGCACTTCTATTAATTGGTCGTAACGTGATGTTATATAGCCTATAGCCTTCCTCGATGAATGAACTATAAAACTTTTCTGATGTCTCGAAAAACGATCTTTGAGATTTTTGTCATATTCAATTGTCCTGTTTTTTTAGTATATGAGCTACACACATACATTTGGTTTAATAATAAAATACAGTTTGTTTAGACGCGAAAATGTATTGCATGCTTGTCACCTAATCTGCCTGCAGAGTAACCAATGGCAACCATTTATAAGTAAAACAATTCAATTTCCACCTTGTATCTCAAAATCAATGTTTGAGGTACTGTTTAAGAAGTGAATTTTAGTAAATCCTTTCTTAGCGGAACTCTACATCATAAGACGAGACTACTAACCATCTGACTAAATTTCATACTTAAAGCTTCGGTGGTTCTAGTTAGGCGATGATCAGTCAGTCAGTCAGTCAATTGGTAATGGCTTATAATTTTTATAGGTTATTGACAGGTATAACAACCTATTTAGGTTTTCATAGTAGTTAGATAATTTAATACCACAGGACATTTAGTTATAACATTATATTTTATGATAACTCAACACTTAATTCATTCTTGTGATATTAAGGCATTCACAATATTATAGCTTATAAACGTATATTATGGCAAGTGATTGTGATTACCCATGCACTACCTACTGCATAGAAGAAAGGAATTTATCCACTATCGAAACAAACTTTTCAGGGTACATAATATGTACGATATGCCGGCCTTCTGGAATTATTTCAAGTCTGCAATACAAAATACAAAACCAATTATCAGAAAATTGTTGCTGTGTTAATAGGTACCTATAGGTACCGACGTACATTATATTATACTATAATAGGTATTATTGTCATGGACTCAGGATTGCATTTGCAATAGGAAATATTTTTTGATTGGGTGATGGCTACACTCTCCCGCTGCAGGGCCGAAGGCGCGAGGTCATGGAGTTATGAGCATATCATATCCCCCCTCCTTTGGCTTAAATTTCTCATATAAAATTTATGATAAAGCAATGATTACATATTATATCATGGTCTGAAAATAGCCAAAATGTCATGTCCCCCATTTCCAAAAATCTGAGCACTGCTCTCCCGGGTTCACGTAAATCCTACCTAAAGTGTTCATGTAAAATTTCTCGAGTCTGTAATAATTTAATTTGTACATTGTACATTATAATTGTATTATGACAATTAAATAGTTATTATAATATATTAACATTTTAGTTTATCAATATCTAATATCCTAATATTTAAATTTTGTTTATTTAATGGTGACTAGTAATTTCTTTTTTTAGTGATACTATATTATATTATCCTATAATTTATCATAACAGTTATAATTCATAATATGTTTCAGCTATTTGTATTGTTAAAAATACAAATATGATAAATTATAGTACATAGATACAGTATCGTTTTCTTATAATAAAATAAGTACAACTTTACTACCTTCACTTTATTCACAACTCCTTAAGTTAGTGATGCATAGTGGTATACAGGGTTGGGCAGTATCAAAGATACATGTATCAAAGATACGTATCAAAGATACAATTGTATCTTGTATCTTGTATCATGATACATAATTTTACAGTATCAAGTATCATGTATCTTGATACATTTTATACTAGTATCATGTATCTTTTTTTGCCAAAAGATACAAGATACTATTATTGTAAAAATAATTTCGTCGCGGATTGTATTTGTACGAAAAATATTGTCCAGGTGCAATCCAGCCGAAATATTAACGATAGCGAAAAAATGTACCACACAATCTTATAAATTTAAGATAATCTGATAAACATAAAATTAAATTAAGGCGCCCGTATGACCGTAGCCCACACGCAGACCATGTCAATAATCAATAGTCTCATAAAATATGAATCCGCTGCCTAGATATGAGTGTAACCGTTTAGGTATTTCCACATAAAATAGAAAATAAAATCAAAATTGAGCATAAAGCAACTATATATAAGTATAAATTAAGATGTAATTGTTATTAATTTTGGTGTATTTATATTATAAATGTGATGTATTAGCAGGGCCGGATTAAGCACGGAGCCTGGGAGCCCGGGCTCCAGGCCCTGAAATATTGAAGGCCCCGAAGGGGCCTTTTATTTCAGACCAAGTTCAAAATAATTTAAGTTTAAATTTTATTTTGATAAAATTTTCGTATTTTTACGCAGTGTGCTAGCTTAATACCACCTGCTTACCTACGTGCGAGCAGTAATATCGGTTTGGAATAATAGGACCTTATGATATTATATTATACCTAATATAAAAATAGTATAATAAAATATAATTTGTTTGCATTCAAGTACTAAAGTACTTTGTGAGAATTATGATACCATACTTAATCGTTTAAAATATTTAAGTGAAAATACGGAAATAAAAAAAGATGCACGAAACGAAGCACAAAATATAATTAACAAAATGACATCACTTGATATTGCTTTCATGACAGTACTATGGAACAGAATTTTAGAAAGATTTGACAAAACTAGTGTTAAATTACAAGAGAAGTCACTTGATTTATCAGTCGCTGTTGAGCTTTTAAAATCTTTACGGGAGTATATTGGTTCAATAAGAAACAATTTCAATAATATAGAAAAAGTGGCATTATCTCTTTCTTAAGTTATTTCTAAAAAGTATAATACTGAAAAAAAAGAAAAATAATTCGTAAATTAACTCCATGAAAAATCCACGCTTGAACGCTTTATCGTTAATGACCATTGAGAGATCTCTACTTAAAGAAATAAATACAGATGAAATAATTGTGGAGTTTCAAAAAAAGAAAAGAAAATAAGGTACCTAATAAAGTAAATTTTAAAATATTTTATTTTTATTTTGACATTTAAACAATAATGTTGTATATTTGTATGTAACGAAAATTTACTAATATTTAAAGATTAAAAAAGATATATCTGTACCTACAATAAATTAATTTGTATCACTTTTTTAAATAAATAAAATTCAGTTATTGGTAATTAATAGTGTATGAATTAAGGGCCCTTTGGACTACTGGGCTCCAGGCCCGGTAAACTCTTAATCCGGTCCTGTGTATTAGTTATAAATGTATAATGTGTACCTATTGACTTATTATATTATAATGTGTACAGTGTACCTATTGACTTATTATATTATTTGATATAATTATGACTTTATAAGTATTTATAAATACTATTATTATGTAGGTATAATAATAATATTATGTATTTATTATGTATAGACGGTATAGTGAATTGTGTATAGACGTTTTACGTTTAATAATTAATAAAATTTGATTGGAAATATAAAAGTATCATGTATCTTTGATGTATCAAAGATACATGTATCTTGTATCTTGTATCTTTTCTACATTCACAATGTATCTTGTATCTTGTATCTTGATACACAAAATGTATGTATCATGTATCATGTATCATGATACTTTTTTTTGAGTATCTTGCCCAACCCTGGTGGTATATATAGGCCATACTGCCATAATAGGGACTTAGATGTTTTTATTTCTTTTGGACATTCACAAACACATCAGAATCTTAAAAAATAAAAAATAAAATAATTGCTCGTGCAGATGAGTATGAGGTAGGTATCTAGACGGATATGTTACATGATAATAATATTATGTATGGATACACTCACGTCGATCGCTTTATGTTTTCATGCAGATATACACCGTGCTCGACCGGTATGAATTCATCTTTTGCACCGTGCACGATGAGCGTGGGCGCGTTTATCTTGGCCAGTGAGCCGCGGCACACGTCACCGTCGTGCTCGTCGAGAATTTTCTGGAACGAGTCTATCCATCCGGTCCAAGTGTCCGTCACGTACTTCTCACCGTACGCTTTGAATTGCGTAATTCTCCTCACTTCGGGCCAGCCATAGACGTCGCGTGTCGTCTCGTAGATTTCGAGGTCTTTAGCCGTGACGTAAGCGTTGCAGCTCCACACCACCAGCCTGTTGACTCGATCTGCGGCCCTGGACGCTGCGATCATCGCGGTGCACCCGCCGTTGCACCAGCCCAACATCGAATACCTCTCGATACCTAACGCCTGCGGCAAAGTCAGAAAAACCAACGATCACTTTTTTATTTATAAGAATATTTTAATATAAAAAATATCCATAAAAAACCAGTAATTTTCTATATTATGTTATTTTGATTTTTTGGTCAGAGTATGAACTACTTACGAAAACTTGTTGGAAATGTACAATCATCAAAGCTATATTCAAATTGAATATTTTATACATTTTGAACTACAAAATAAATTGACAATTTTTGATGAAATTTTTTATGAATTTAGTCAAAACTTTAAATGCTTATAAAAAATATCCTTGCCTATATGTATCTTTAATATTTTTCAACTACCATTATAACACATCATGAGGAACTTAGTAATAAATTGTCAAGTTTTTTTACGCAAAAATTATTTGAAAGATGGAAATGTCTATAAATAGCTCAAAACGAGTCAAAATATTTTTAAAATTATGTCTAGAATATTCTAAAGTAAACAATTGGTGATAATTTAATGAATCTACGGTTATTAGCTTTGGATTTACACCAATAAACAAAATCAGTTTTGTCGAGATAACTAGTTTTGCTTCAAAAAAATTTTAGTTTTACCTTAATATTTTTTATTGTAAAGAAAGTTCTGTGAATTTTCATAATTTACCTCATAAAGTTACAAGCTATATTCAATTTTCTATAAAAAAAACCCTTTTAAACTGAAAATCGTATAATGGGGATCCATCCTCATCGCTCCCCCAACATAACTCTGCCACTGGTCGTTATATATACTTTTCTATAATATTTTACCTCCATAAGCGCAATGGCCAAATCTGCATCGCGATCTAAATATCCAGGTGAAAAATCTCTGTTCGGTGGTCGACTTAAACCGTAACCTGGAGGTTCCCATACGTATATAGTATATTTTTTATCATCGAGGTTTTCCGTCAGCGGTCCAAATTGACTAATTAGACCTAGAGAAGTAAATCTATTATAATATTACAGTGAACAAATTCAATAGGTATGGGCAAACGCCGGCGGCGACGTTATAATAGTAAAACCATTTACTGGACAAAAATAAGTATAGCAATAAATATTATGTAATTATAGACTTACCCAGTACTCCAGGAAATATCAACAATTTATGTGGTCCGTTCCCAACTTGAATGTAGTTTATCTCAAAACCTTTGACATTTATTTTCTTTGAATTCTACTTAAAACAGGAATTCGTTGAATATTTTAACTTTTTTGTAGCTTGTAAAATAAATATCTCAAAAGATATTTTGATAATAGAAGTTAGAGAACATTTAATTGGTAGGCACAATTATTGCTGCGTAATGATATTATTATTTCCTTAGATAACAATAATAATTTAAATACCTTTGTGGCTTTTTGATATAGATGTTAATGTTAGGTAGTTACTAATTATGTTGTATATTAAATAATAATTTTAATGTTTTAACCGATTTTTCTTTCAAAATCATGTCGATAAAGTGGCGATCTCATTTTATTTGGAACCCGAAATATTGCCTAATATTTTTAGATTTATCAAATGTTACCTTTTTGGTATAAAATGTATCAGTGAATTACCAAAATATAATTATTTCAGTTATTAACTTGAGCTCAACTATATAGTAAGATTTTTAGATTCTGAGTGGAACGATGAATGTATTGATTTTACAATGATGAGTGTTTTTTTTTAAATTCATCACGTTTTAGAACAGTAAAACTGCTTGGATTTTCTTCAACAGTAGCTTTTCTAATAGGAAAGGGAATCTAGTTGGTACTTTGGGGGGTAAAAAGTATCATTTTTCCAGTAGTTTTCAAAGGTGCCGTGAAAAACAAAAGAAAAATTAAGGAAAAACGGGAATTTTTACACAAAATCTGTTTTCGAAAAAATCGATTTTGGTATTTGGTGTAACTCTTAAACAAATGACCGTATATACATGAAATTTTCACTGGTTGTTTATATTTGAATTTTCTATATACGATAACATTTTCCAAATTATTTGATTTATTTTGAACTGTTTAGGGACATTTTCATTTTCCATTTTTTTTTAGTTTTTTTTCTAAAAATATCAATAAAATTTTATTTGTTATTTGCGAAATTCTTTGCTTTTGAAATTCAAATTATTTCAAATATCTAACTGTAGATACATGAAATTTCACTGAATGTTTATATTAGAATTTCCTATAAACCATACAATTTTGAAAATATTTTGACTCTTTTTCAGCTGTTTATGGACATTTACAGCTTTCAATTTTTTTTTAGTTTTTTTTTCTATAAGTATCAATAAAGTTTTATCTGTTGGGCCAAAAAGTGTAAAAATGTAATACAAGGCCCCTGATATATTGTTACAATAGCAGTTGAAAAATATTAAAAATACATTGGCACAGTTTTTTTTTATAAGCATTTAAAGATCAAATTTTGACAAAATTTATCAATTTTAAAATTGAATAATTATTTTGTAGTTAAACATTTATAAAATGTTCAACTTTTATATCTAAGGATTGAAAATTTAAAACAAGATTCCACGTAAGTAGTTAATTCTGTTACCAAAAAGTCCAAAAAATACAGAAGCATAGTTTATTTTTATATTCATTTTATGTTCAAATTAACCTAACCATAAAAAACCTAGAATAACTATTTTAGTTATTTTGTTGTGATTGTATAATATTATTTGTGGGTACTTGAAACTTCTAAAGTACACTATTATATATCTATGATAGTATCAGGGTTTCTTGTTTATGCATAACGCATTATAGATAGCTAATGGATATTGTGATATGATTAATTTGGAATTTATTATAGGTACCTATCTATTATAGGTCAATTTATTTTAATACCATAGATAAGTATAAAATATGTCTTTTACCTAGACTAACATACCGTCTCCGCTCAGAATCGTTTGTCTTATACAATGATATTATATCATTGAATTCAAATTTAATATCATCCATTATACAGTGACCTAGTTGTAACCTACTGTACAGCAGAACACCTTTTTGGCTTGTATTAATTTTTAAATAGTTAAAAAAAAATTAAAAAAAAACACACATCATTGTAAAATCAATACATTCATCGTTTCACTCAGAATCTAAAACAGGTTTTTGTAACTTGAAAGAATGTTCAATTTTAATCAAAACGGTATATGTGTAATGTGAGCAACTTTTATTCGTATAAGATAGGCAATTATATCTAGTCCATTTATTCTAAATATCCTAATATCTTAGGTACCTACATTGAATGTCGATCAAAAAAATGTTTAATAGTTTTAATTACAATACTTTAATATTAAATAATAATATAAACAAAAACAAAAACAAAAACCAATGGTAAGCAATTTTAACACCTGTCTAATTAAATTATATATTTTTTATTTAAATTTAATCATGGTTGAGATATTTCAAACATTTTATTTTGAACTCTTGAGTTAATGCCGATTATAAAGAGGTATTATTACTTATTTTTTAAAGTTCAAATAGTAATATTGAGAAAACATATTGAGCTTTGAGTAAAAGCCATAAACAATTACTGATAACCTATTATATAATTAATAATTATTATCCAGAAAATAATAATCATGAAAACTTGAAAATTTGACCAATTCACGGTCATTTTATCGTCAGATTTTTTTTTCAGTTGTACATAGATAATTATTATGGTGCAAAATTTCTTGTTGGGGGATAATTATAACGTTGATATATTTTATATTAAAGAATTCGTTCAGATACGTCCAAGTATAGTATTGATATTATAGTATTTTTTACTATATACCTTGTGTGTAACCTATACATATTTTTGGATTATATTTGTGAGATATGCAACAGACTATTGGATCGATGGCATAGTTCTTTCTAAAAATGAATCAGTTCAAGTTCAAGACAATCATGAATTTAACTAGTTCAAGTATAGTATCGACATATTTTGTACTATAACTTGTACTATACAATACTTGAATAATGTATAGGGTTATTATGTTCATGGGACATGAAATTAGACTATTGAATCATTAATCTAATGCAGACAGAATTCCAAAATATTTAAAGGGTACGAGTGATGTAGGAAAATTAGTTATCACATGGTAGGCACATCGTACCTTCACCTACTCAAGAACGCTGCATTATGTGTGTCAATAATACACATCATACTGCCTATAATACATGCAGTTTAATACACAATAACACTTAATTTATGGGTTTAACTGTTCAAGGATTTATTATAAAATATAATATTTAATATTGTAATAGGTATATGCGTATAAGTTACCAGCTCTGTCGAAACTGTGTATCGTTGGTCCATCGCGAACGCTTTCGAAACAGTTTATTTAAAAATAAAAATAAATTACTATAGTCGATAGGTAATGTTCCGAAATAGGTAGCGAAATAGTATTAATGTCACTGAGTCCATGCAAATTCACACACTAGGTGGCAGCTAGGCCGACTGCTAAGTAGGTACTGACAGCTGAAAGTATACACGGACACGGAGTTCCTATAGCATTGCCTTTAACGCCACTAGTCACGACCAGTGTTTGGTACTTATATCTTATTTAAATTCTGGTTTCTGAAGCGGGGGTCACGGGGACGCATCAAAAGTGGTATACGTAGTGTCATTTTGATTTCAATCTATTGAATTTGGCTGTGAGCCAAGAAAATTGTAGTTGCATCAATTAATATATACCTATAGATTTTATAATTTTTACTTCGGAGAAGGAAAAACAGGAATTATTAAGTAAACTCGGTTTTTGACAAAACCTATTTTGGTTTCTGGATTGAATGGTGCTCACGGGATAGACCACATAGCGATAGCCAGTTTACCGCTTGAATATCAATTAGGATGGATTATTAATAATTTAAAAGCGGTACAGCAATGATTATAATAATATAAAACTTGTATGCATGACTATAAATTTGGTTATATTTTGATTGTGAAATCAGGCGTTGGCAGACTTCTATTGTTACCTGCAGTGGCGGTTAAAATAAGATGATGAGGGTGATACATCCCCTCATACAACACCTATTTTTAAATATTCATAAAAATTTATATATTTATATAATACATTGTATGTTTATTAAATAATGTACTACATTTTTTCAGTTAAAAAATCAGCTACATGTGTACAGCTCCAAATTTGATCTCATTGTAAGGTTTTAGTAGCTTGAACCCCGCTTGTGTTAGAAATATGAGGTTCACCAATTTTTATTATTTTTGATTTTTCAAGTCAGGTGTAAGTAAAAACTGCCTGGACATTTAATTATTTAAACATGCAGCTACACAATGTAAATTTATTTTTCCTGGTATGTTTTACAACATAGATGTAAGTGATGTCATTCTAATTTAAAATTAGTAAACATAAGTTAGAATTATTTTTCCTTGAACTAATATTATTTCCTTATTGCACGTATTTTACTTAGTCAGGTTAGTCTTCATTAAAATTTGAGCATGCAATATTAATTCAAGTTTGAAAAAAATCTCAATAATATTTTAATGCTTTGAAACCAAATACATGTATATAATACTAGCTGATCAACCCGGCTAAGTCCGTGTGCACTATTTCTATGCGGTAAATCTTATATAGAAAATACTCTATAACATTATACTAAGTGTATCTCGGTTTTAGAGTACCTCAGTAGTCAGTTCACTGATACAAATCGGACTCAGAGTAACGAGCTTTGGTTTTTTGAAATTATTTGACCTAGAACCAAGTTGTGGATTGTATGTTGCACTTGCTATATTTTTAACGTGGTTTAAACTACTTAGTATTTACTCTCTAAACTTTTCAGATATCTCGAAAAACTATCTTTAAGATTTTTGTCATATTCAATAGTCCTGTTTTTGAGTATATAAGCTACACACATACTTTTGGTTTTATAATAAAATACAGTTTCTTAAAACGAACCTATGTAAACGCGAAAATTGATTGCATGCTTGTCACCTACTCTGCCTGCAGAGTAACCAATGGCAACAAATTTATAAATAAAAAAATTTCAATTTCCACCTTGTATCTCAAAATTAATGTTTGAGGACCTGTTTAAGAAGTGAATTTTAGTAAATCCTTTCTTAGTGGGACTCTACATCATAAAACGAAACTACTGACCATCTGACCAAATGTCATACCTATAGCCTCGGTGGTTCTGGTTAGGCTATGATCAGTCAGTCAGTAAGTCAGTCAATTGATCATGGCTTATTATTATTGATTTGTAGGGTATAAAAATATGTTTAGGCTCTCATAGTGGTTAGATAATGTAATAAAACAGGACATTTATTATAACATTATATTTTATGATCACTCAACACTTAATAACTTCTTGCGATATTAATTCATTCACAATACCTCCATATATAAAGGAAAGTGTACTTATTACCAATAATTAACGCAGAGCCGAACCTATTTGAGTTATCGACTTGACATTTCGAGGATAGATTTTTATAATAATTTCATCGGGCACTAAGAAAGGATTTATCAAAATTTTGATTTTAAAGGGTTGAAATCGGTAAAAAAAAATTTTTTCACATGTAATTGGTATATCTATATTCATATAATAATAACAATAGCAGTTGACCGATTACGGGAAATACGGTACGGCACGGCGGCCCGGTGAAACACGATTGAGCACGGTCCCTATTTTGAAACAACCCGATTGAGCACGATCCATATTTTTTAACAACCCGATTGAGCACAGTCAAATGAATGCAACGTTGCCAATTTTTCTGTCCGACTACATACAGCTATTCTACACTCGTATTTTGAAATATTAGTACCTATATATAAAGCCGGTGGGAATATTTGTCAATCTTTGTGCTTTACTAGTCGTATGGGAGGTATTTAACATAGAATGGTGATTATTTTCAATCGTGGTTTCCCATCTTTTGAAAGCGGCACGAGTATAATCGATAAATAATATACGAGTCGTATAGGAAATTAGGATCGACATAATCGTCGAAATAGGTACACTCATGCATTGTCGATTACGCCAATTAAGATTATCTGTACGACTGTAAGATTGGATATTATTTGTTATCTATATAATATATAGTCATATAGAAGTGGGCTTTTGTATTGCCAAAATATAAGTAACTTAGACTCAATACTATCAGGCGTTAGTGGTTAGTGGTCGTTCGTCGTTAAGCGTTAGTACGTTACACCGTTTTATTTTAGATAACTTTTTTTATATACGTAGAACGCGATGGACAATAGTGAAATAAAAGTTATTTTATCCGAGAGAGGAAAAGAATTAGCCAATGTTGGTACTTTTAAGTACAGATTTATTGGATCGATTAAAAAAGGCGAGTTATTAAAATGGCGATGCACAAAAAATAATTGTACAGCTATGATTTATTCTGGACCAGATAAAAATATCGTTATTAAATCAAGTGGACAACATAAACATAAAGGAAATTCACCTAATAAATTAGAAAGGCAAGTATTACGTGAAAATTGTAAAAGACGTGTTGAAGAGTCACTATCAACTCAACCTTTAAAGTTGATTAGAAGTGAACTTTTAAATAAACAATCTTCAATTGTTCATAAAGATTTAAAAACGGTTCGTAAAGCTATGTACGATAGACGACGAAAAGTACTTCCCAAATTGCCTAAGTCACCGGAAGACGTTTTTTTACAGTTGAATTTAATGAAAACTCAAGATGATTTTAAGTTTCGTGGACAACCATTCATACATATTCCCGAAGACAATAGTTTTGTATGCATTACTTCTGATTTCAACCTACTATTTATGATTAAGCATGATTGTATTGATTTTTTCGCCGATGGTACATTTAATTACTCACCCAAATATTTTGAACAACTATATACTATTCATGGATATAAAAATGGCTATTATTTGCCGTTGGTTTATTTTTTTTTATTTAAAAAATCAAAAGATACATATAAAAAAATGTGGATATTCCTACAAAACTTATGTGTTGAATATACAGGAAGTCAGTTCATATTAAAAAAATTACACGTTGACTTTGAAAAGGCAGCCCACCAAGCCGCGTATGAAGTTTTTGAAAATGTACAATTAATAGCTTGTCGATTTCATTTAGGACAATCATGGTGGCGAAAAGTAAGTTCAAAATAATTTCAAATCAAAGAATTATACATTAATTGTATTCTTAATTATTATTATAGATAAACAGCGATTCTATTCTCAGAATAGCCTATAAAAAAGAAAACGACGAACTAGGAAATTGGCTTAAGAGTTTTTTTGGGTTAGCTTTTTTACCTAATCATGAAGTAGCCGATGCATTCGTCGAACTCATGAGTGTCTGCCCAAATGATAAAGTTTGCTCAGAATTTAGCGATTATGTTTTCAATAATTATATAGATGATGAATCTCCATTTCCCCCAAATATATGGGCTAAAGAACCTATGTTTGATCCAAGGTAGATCATCCAAAATCTAATTATATTAAATATAAAAAAAATGTTAATTTAATTTCTATGCAATGTTTTTTTTTAGGACAACCAACGCTGTTGAAAGTTTTCATAGAACTTACAATTCGCAATTTTATAAGTCTCACCCACACATACACTTGGTAATTATGGTTTTACAAGAAACGCAAGCTGAAACGATGACAAAAATTCGGTCAATTGAAACCGACAGTTATAAAAGTATGAGCTTTATTGAAATGCAAAAAATTAATGCAACTATAATGGCTTACGATGAATATTTAAGAAATAAATGTTCTAAAGATTTACTAAAATATTTATTAAAAGTGGGAAACAAGTATTTAGGGATACCACTTTAAAACGTTGACACATAATACAAATATTCAAATCAAATATATAAATTAACTTTAAGACTAATCTGTATAGGATATGAATTATATTATATATTTATAAAACAAATGAACTTTAATATTGTTTATTATATTATGTAATTATTATTTTATTATTAACTTTAAGACTAATCTGTATTGGACATAAACTATGTATATTGTATATATTTGTAAAATAATTTCATTTTATATTTTTATACACTAATTAATAGCTTGATGATTATTATAAAATAATTCCTGTAAATATTTCAATTTTTTTAAATTTTTATTTTGATGTGTGGAACGGCAACATTGTACTTATTTCTATGCTCAATCGTGTTATATTTTGGATTTCTATTGTTTAATTGTATCCAGTGGCGTATCTACGGGGGGGATATGGGGGTCATATCCCCCCCCGGGAAGGTTATTTTAATTTTTTTAATTTTATTAAAACAATTATTTGATAGTTGTATGAAGATTGAACAGCTCACCTAAAACCTAACCTATGAACGAAAATGAATGGTATTAAATTCAATAATATCATACAACCAGTGGCATCATTTCGTTTTTCAATAGAGGGGGCAAAGGTTTTGACCAGCCCGATGAATGGGTAAAAAAAACTGCTCACAACTACATATTATCTGCTTAAATTTGTTTATGGTACCCTTTTTATTAACTAGGTAACATAATTTTTAAATATAAGGTAGCAGACATTTAAAAAAAAACAATTGTATACAATATATATCAGTTAAATGTCTGCAAACTATTATACGGCTATATTTATATTGATAAACGAAAATATTAGTAGTTTATTAGGATATCTTCTTTTTTTTGAAAATATATCAACTGCATTATCTATAAATCAATTTTACCTGATTCCTCACTTATTGTCCATACTCTATTACTCTTATATTGGTATACAATATATTTACAAATTAATATTATCTAAAATAAAAATATATTTTTTTTATTGCTTAGTTATCACCTCAAGTTTTATCTGTTTATTAAACATACCGGAAATTATTTTCGATTCTTGAGCAGTTTGCGTTAATTTAATATTTTTAGCCACACAACCCATTTATTTTTTGTCAACCCAGTCATATTTTGATCAAATTAAAAGATTAATGTAAACACGCGTCACGAAAAAAATACATTTTAATTTAGGTAGAATAAGGTACTCAACTTAAATATTAACACAATACCCAGAATAGTTGAATCATACACGACTGTTGTAAGTTAACTGAAGTCCGTGATCAATGATAATTAATAAAAGTTCCAATCGGTTGTTGTTTTTAGAGTTTGTATTAGGTAGTTTTAGATTTTAGAAATTAAACTATACTAGATTATGATACCTACTAATTATTATTATTATTTTTACACATTACAAAATTTTTATATCCCTCCCCTTGAAAAAATCCTAGATACGCTACTGATTGTATCGGTAAAATACGATTGCGCGCATTTTACCTTTTTCATAATACGATTGCGCATGTTTTAATGGGACAATAGAACATACATTTTGGGTAAGATATATGTACGATTGCTCGTAAAACTTCATGCTACGTTGCCAAATTGAAAGTAATTTAATTTTGCTTGAGCTAAGAGTTTTTAATAATAATTTAATAAATATAATAATAAATTACACGAACAAATCATAAAATACATATAAAAATAAAATACCCTAATATGTTAATTAATGTATACCATCAACAGTCAAAAAATAAAACGATTATAATATTATTTTTACAATTTCTGGTGCTGATTCGGTATGCGCTCTACTGAAAAGTGTCTGAGTCAGTATATTTAAAACGATTATTCACGATCTGAATTTCTTAACCCTGTGACCCACTTGGGGAGGTGTTGCACAGCAAGTCGGGGGATATTTTCGATTTGCGGAGCGGAGCGACGGCGCCGAGAAGCGTAGCGACGAGTGCCGCTAGCACCGCATCACTGTACGATGTTCTTAAAAAGATGAGATAATCTGCAGATAAATACGACATTAGTTATCTTAGAATTTGTATCATCGTGTTATTAAATTTGGCAACATTGCACAACCGTGTAATCGTATTTAACACGCGCAATCGTAAGCCAAAAGGGTATGAGCGCAATAGTAATGCGCGCAATCGTATTCTACCCGATTGTATCTATGCTCAATTGGGTAATGAAAAAGGTAAACTGTGCTCAATCGGGTTCCAGCCCGGCGGCCAGAGGGTTTCCATCTACCTGTACTCTGACCTTTTTTTTGTGTGGGTGTTTTATCAGCATGTAGATATGAATTGTTCCGTGGCTATATTATTATTTATGAGTTGTATAGAAAACACTAACTAAGGAATAATAATACACGGAATATTATATTCAGGAAAAATAATTTCGGGATAATTAAAACCAGTGTACAGGAATGATATTTTACGTTTGATTTATTATTTGGAAAATATTATTTAGTAGGAAATATCAAATAAGAAAATATTTCTTAAAACTTACAAACTATACCTAGGTACTTATTAATATAAAGACATTTTATTTTTAAGATACAGTGACGTAATATAAGGGTTTTTGGGTGTTGAACCTCCCTCCTTGTTATTTTTTTCACTAGGTATACAATTAATTAATAATACAATTTTTAAAAATACTTTTATGTATGTTATGTGACCCTAGATCATTTCCCAGCTCAAAATAGTATATTGTGCGGCGAGGGCGGGAAGTGAGCTATTTTAGTCGCGGGCGACGTGTGTTGCTGCACGAGCCGTAGGCAAGGGCCGCATTTCGCCCTAGACCGTAGATTCTTAACCTTTTCTGGGCCATGGACCCCTTTGAAGTATAAAATATAATCACGGACCCCCCTCCAAGAAAAAAATAAAATATATAAATAAATAGGTTAATAAAATTTTTATTTTAATATTTAATTTTTTTTAATGATAAATCTAAGACTTAATACTATATTCAATTATTGGGAATTATCACTTTTTCTTATAGCCAAAAACCAATTTTAATGTGACATTTGCTGTTGTTTTGATTGTAATATTGCCTTGAAATCTGGGACCGTATTGAACAGAGTAACACGCATATCGTCCTTAATGTCCAATCAATTTCTTGCTTTATTTTAATTGTGACCATTGTAAAAAAATCCAGACTCACAGAATGCGGGCAAGGCATTATTAATGTTATCTTAAAAACGCTATCAAAACAAATTTATTTTCGCGTAATCCAAAAAAACTCACAGTCACCCCGTGGACCCCTGAGTAACCATCTACGGACCCCTGGTTAAGAACCTATGCACTAGACTGAAATTGCCTTCCCGGCTCCCGCACGAGCCACACATGCTATTTTTTGTTACGCCTCTGCATTTATCGATCACGGCAAAGGTAATACAACAACTATAGATCATAAGGTTAGGTTTTTGATGTAATACGAATTTGAAAAACCTCTCTAAAAACCTAAATCCTTAATTAAAAGTCCTATCTTTTTGAAACCTTCAAGGATCGAAGTAGAAGCGTGCGTGCCTAGATCATTTGCCATCTGGTAAAAGTAGTTTAACTCAATTGTTAAGGGAGTAAATGTTATGTTTAAAATTTGAATTTTTCAAAATAAAAATTGGCAGGAAATTTTGTTTTGCCAATTCCTCAAACTTAAAATCGAGATGTGGCTTTTTTGAGAACAGAAATTTGATCTCGAGATGTCACTGAGTTGAACCTTGAAGATTTCAAGACGATATAACCAACATTGAATGAGCTAGTACTTCAAAATGTATATCCTGCAGCCGTTCCAATTTTGTGTCGTTAGCTCAAATAAATATATTAGAGTGAATTAGTAGTATGATTTGGGGGGTTCTGACCGCTGCACCGCTGCACCGCTGCACTCCACTCCCTCCACACCCTCCACTCCCTCCACACCCTCCACTCCCTCCACACCCTCGCTTATCGGCCACGTGCGCGAGGTATATTTTGGCCTTATCAGTAACCACTCCTTATCAGTAACCATTTCTTATCAGTAACCACTCCTTATCAGTAACCACTACTTACCACTGATAACAGTTATCGGCCACGTGCGCGAAGTATATTTTGGCCTTATCAGTAACCTAATCAGTAACCACTACTTACCACTGATAACGATTGTTGGACAGGTGCCGCGAGACGTATACCTAATAGTGATAACGATTATCAACAACCGTCAAATTATCAGCAGCTGTCACCGCCACCAGAAATATCTACAACATAACGTAATTGTAACTACAGTGTAGATAATTACGATTTTATCGAAATTCATGAAATAAACGTATATTGTTAAATATCAGAAATATATACCGTATACCACTATTGTTACTACGGTGTAGGTATTTTTAAAAATGTCGAAATTCACGAAATAAACGTAAATCGAAAAATATCAGAAATATCTACAACATAACGTAATTGTAACTACAGTGTAGATTATTACGATTTTGTTAAAATTCACGAAATAAAAGTAAATCGCAAAATATCAGAAATATCTACAACATAACGTAATTGTAACTGTAGTGTAGATTATTACGATTTTGTTAAAATTCACGAAATAAAAGTAAATCGTTAAATATCAAAAATATATACCGTATACCACTATTGTTACTACGGTGTAGGTATTTTTAAAAATGTCAAAATTCACGAAATAAACATATATTGTTAAATATCAGAAATATATACCGTATACCACTATTGTTACTACAGTGTATGTATTTTTAAAAATGTCAAAAATATCGAAATTCATGAAATAAACCTAAATCGCAATATATCAGAAATATCTACAACATAACGTAATTGTAACTACAGTGTAGATTATTACGATTTTGTTAAAATTCACGAAATAAAAGTAAATCGTTAAATATCAAAAATATATACCGTATACCACTATTGTTACTACGGTGTAGGTATTTTTAAAAATGTCGAAATTCATGAAATAAACGTATATTGTTAAATATCAAAAATATATACTGTATACCACTATTGTTACTACGGTGTAGA